GTGACATAAATAATCTTTGTAATTTTTCTCTCATATGTTGCAAATATATTTCTAACTCTAAAAGAATAATCCCTTCATAGAATTACCATAAAGTTTGATTTAGAGTGCCACTAAAAATTAACAAAGAGCTTCTAGCAGTTGTTTAGAAGAGAGTAGATCATAGGAAAAACTGTAGCTGTTGGGTTGTTTCCAATCAATTGGAAATAAATCTTTTTAGGATTAGTCTTCTGTAACATTTGCTTCTTTTTGCATCTCAGTTGAATTCAGTATTGACAAATGATCTGTAACAGGAAGCATTTTGTGCAAAGCTGTCTACATGGAAACACAAATACGAACTGCCTTTTTCCTCCTCTATTAACATATCAGCTTTGACATTCAACAAAGAATTATAGTTCAGAAATTAATAGCTGGTTGAATAAATATAGCTCTATTTTCTTAATTTCCTTTAACTCAGTTTATAACAAATGTATGAATTAAGCACAGTCCACATTTACTTGGCGGAGACTGTTTTAAAATGAATGTCAAATAAACGTATTTTCTACCAAGACTCTCTTTCTTCTCATCACCCATTTGGCATTTAATTCAGAAAAAAAAATTAGCAATGGAACAATGATTTCCAAATTATGTTTCATGGTACTCTCATCCCTCGAGATGGTAATAGGTAGAACTTTAAAAAAAATTCTATGCATAAATGTGTCAAATAGTGGCATACATATACATTAGTCAGCTTGAGCTGCCATAACAAAATACCATAGACTGGGGTGGCTTATTTATCACAGTTCTGGAGGCTTTCGGTCTGAGATTAGGGTGCCAGGATGATTAGGTTCTGGTGAGAGCTCTCTTCCTAGCCTGCAGATGGCTGCTTTCTTTCTGTGTCCTCACATGGGAGGGAAATAAAGGGCGGCAGGGAGACAGAGAGGGAGAGACAGAGGGAGAAGGAGAGAGAGAGAGGTAGTGCTCTGGTGTTTCTTCTTATAAGGGCACTAATGCCATCGTGAGGGCCCCACCCTCATGACCTTATCTAAACCTAAATCTCCCAAAGGCCCTATTTCCAAAACCATCACATTGGAGGTTAGGCCTTCAACATATGAATTTGTCACCATTAGGGGAAGGGGAGAGAAAGGAAATATTATACAATTCAGTCCATAAGGATTCTATATATTCCTCTTAGGGGTTCATAATATATTAACATATGAGATGTTCTGAGATGTTCTTCAGTTAACAAAACTGTTTTCTAAACTTTTTTTTTTTTTAACTACAACTCTACCCTCCGTCACTCTCCCCATAAGAGTATCTGCTTCTATTACAATGTACGGAACTGGTGTTTGGGACTAGTACACAGTCTGGCAAATGCTACAGTGGAGACTCCTTGTAATTATAGGGGAGAAGGATTGAAACTGATATAAAACCCTCAAGCATATTTTGGGAAAATCACCTGAACTCAGTAACATTCCTCTCAAATCACTGGGAAATTGTATGTTAACCTGTTTAGGCTTCAACAGCCCAAACAGTAATATGACAAAGAAAATGTCATTCTTTGTCACATCGCTCCAGATAATTCATTCCGCTCTATAAGAGTCATTGTCATTCTCAACTTGCCCTTCTTTATTGCTCTCCCACATTCTTAGAGGTCTCTTTCCTCACATCCCTTCCACATAAAACGAGACATTTCCTATTGTCTTAGAAGTCCCCGACTTGAAAATATTTGGCATAAGATATCCCATTTTTAAAGAAAACTACCAAAGGGGGCCAGTCACACCTTCTAGAAATCACTGTTACCATAATTCTACCAACACCCTCCAGTTTATATAAGATGACAATCATGGGAAGAGACGATTCTAAGAAAAGTGTGGTACTTATTAGTTAGCAGACAGTGCTGGGTTTGAAGTCTTTCCTCCCCTTCCCATTCTAAAACAAACAAACAAACAAACAAACAAGCAAGCAAACAAACAAAAACCCCACTCTTCAGAGAAAATGAGAATCCCTAGGGAGCTCTGAAGTCTGTCCAAGATGTTATTAAGGGTGAAGGAAATTATTTGACAGAGTGTGTTTGAAAGCAGTGATTGAAAAAGCAAAGCAATAAAGAAACATTTCACACTGGCACTCCCAATATTCAGATTATGTGTCCCTTGCTTGGCCACCTACGGATCTGTGCCCATTGGAGGAGGGAAGGAGAGAAATGGAGAGAAGTGGCAGGATAGAGAGAGGAATTGCAGTGTGGCAGCCTGTGCTTCCTCCATGTAGTATGGCGAGGATGCACGCGTTTCCAGCTGGCCAAGTACACATCTTCCTCTGAAGTCAGTTGGGCTTGAGCCTTGCCTCATCTATGAGAACTATCTGCCACTTGGAGGGTTAAGGGTACTCAGACGTGCCAGATCATGGAAGTGTGCACATGGAAGACCCCTGAAAGATACCTGAAAGAAGTCATGACCTTGATCCGCAACAAAAACAACTGATGGGCGCAATTCCTATATTAGAATAGTAGGAGGAAGGTGAAAAAGAAAGGGATAGGGACAGATGAAGGAGGCCACTGATTGCCAAAACATTTGGATTTTATTCGGTAAGAGAGTCACTGAACATTTTAAATTGGTGAGTTGCACTATAAAAACAATGTTTCGGAAAGCTCTAAACTGGCTATGTATAATGCAGATAGGGACAAGCAAAAGACCAAGGAAATAATAATAATAGCCAACTTTCATTAGATGCTTTCTATGACCTTTGTAAGTATGCAAGAAATATTAGTTATAAACATTATTATTATGCTCCAGGCAATGTTCTGAGTACTTAGTAATGAGATATCTGTTATGGGCTGAATTGTGTCGTCCCCCTCCACCCCTGAATTCATTTGTTGAAGTCTTTACTTCCAATATGACAGTATTTGGAGATAGGGCCTTTAAAGAGGTAATTGAGGTTAAATGAAGACACGACTAAGGTTAAATGAGGTTGAAAGGGTGGGGCCCTAATCCAATAGGTCTGGTGTTCCTTATAAGAAGAGAAAGGGATACCATGGGTACAGGCATACAGCAAAAAGGCTATGTGAGGACACAGCGAGGAGGTGTTTGTCTGTAAGCTAAGTGCTTAGCAGAAACCAACCTTGCTGTCTGTCTTCTTGATTTTAGACTTCCAGTCCCTAGAACTATGAAAAAATAAATTTCTGTTGTTTAAGCCACCTAGTCCGTGGTATTTTGTTATGGCAGTCCAGTCAGACTAACTCATATGGCTCTTAAAACAGCCTCATGGGGTAATACTCTGACGATCATCTGTTACCCAAGAAGAAAACCATGCTCAGAGAGCTAAATGTGAATTGCCTGCGGCAGCTAATAAGTGCCAGTAAACAGGACTGACACCCAAGTTGTCTGACTACAAATACTATAGTTCAGTTGTAAACTGATAAATGAAGGGATTTACACACACTCTGGATTTAGGCTAAAAGGGTTATCACCAGATGACCCTTGGGGTCCACAAAAGATAAATGACTGTATTATGTATGTGTGTAGTTTATATTTACTGTGGAAAGTTTGTTCAGAGCAGAAGGGAATTAATTGTGGCTGAAGCTCTGGGGAACCTAATGATGGCTGATGGGTAAAATGAGAGAAGATCTGTACTACTGCGGAGAAAAAAAGTTCTAAAATAAAAGGACACATGGGGGTAAACTAGAGTAATGAGGGGAAGCTGAGGTGTAGATTAAGAGACCAGATCAAGTTTCATCTGTTTTGACTATTATTGCCTATAACAGCACCTGGCTTTTAGAAGACAGTAACATTTGGTGGATATAGGAAAGAACAGCAGAGAAAGTCAGATTTAATACTTAGAAGAAAAGGAGTATTTATAGTTGTGGGTTTTTTTCTTTTTCTTTTTTAACAGGAGCAGTAACAGACTGAGACCGAATTTTCCTTTTCTCTTGACTGGGCTTTCTCTTTTTTCTTTTAGAAAGTCCTGTAGCTAGCGCCAGTTAAGCAGATACAAAAAACATGGACACCAAAACAAATGACTTGTTATCTATGATTGCTGAGCGTGTATGTCTCTGGGCACGATAAAATTCACAGCCGCAGGGTTATTAAATCCATAAAAGCTGACTACAGAGGGTAGTCACTTAGCTATTCTGAATTAAATAAGTAGGTCCCGAATACAATCATCCGTCGCTGGCCCATTAATCTTATGATGGCCCTTCTTGCTCTTTAGGTAGCTGGCTCCTCAATGCCGGGAAAGAGCGTGCCCCCCAGCAGAGGCTCAGCTGCCTTTAGAGGAGGCTACCATCAAGTTCAAGGGTTAGTGCTAGGAAATCGCCGCAAGGCCTCTCCCAAGCACACCGACTGATCTGCAACGCGCCTGCACAAACCGTAGCAGCCTAGCTCCGCAGAAATCCCTTCGCAGCAAAATCAGAGAAAACCCAAATACGGGTCCGAAACCGAGTGCGCGCGATAATCTAAAGATTTTCTCCACCACAGCAGCCTCGTCGGACAGCAAATCCCAGCATTCACTCCTTCCATGGGAGCCAATAAAGAAGCCTCAAGCCCCTTCAGCCAATCACATCCTGATTTAGTGTACCCACCCCCCTCAACTGAATTCTGGGATTTGTGGTTTTCACGTGGCAACACTCTATCATCGTGGTTAAGGCAATGTAGGCCACGCTTTCGATTCCAAACGAAAGCTCCTTTTAGTAATTCTGCTGGTCCCCAGGCTAACCCTTTAATTAGCATTACTTCCAAGCTTTATAGTCTTTAAAACCGTAAGCTTTTTTCTTATTGTCATACAGAAAAAGAAATGAAGCTATCTTCAGATTACTGCACACTTGTCCCGCTCGCCCCCCATCCTTTAACCGTCGCTTTTAAGTCTCGCGAGAACAGCCCCATTTGGTCGTTGTCATGCCTCCTGAAAGGCGGTCCATGCGAAGACGGACACAAGCCTCAGCCAACAGGATTGTTCTTTAACTAGTGTCTCTCCAGCGTGCGTGAGGAGACCTCCGTGAACCCTAACCTCAGCTTCCGTAGCGTCCCGCGTCTACCGCCTCCGCCCCCGGAGCGAAGGAGGCGGGTTTTGGCCTCTTGCCCTAGGGAGCGAGTGCAGAGGGAGTGGGAGCGAGACGGGCCCGAGTGGAAGTGTCTGGCTCCCGGGAGAGGCCGTGCTGTACTCCTTGCTTCCCATGAGCTCGTTCTGCAGCGAGCAGCGCCGTCGTTAGGTCGGCCCCGTAGCCTCTGCTTCCCCCGGGATAGGCCCACGCCTCGCCGGGGAGGGAGCAGCCTGTCGAGGCGCCTCCCTAGTCTGCGTCGGTGTCGCGCTGCGACCCTGGAAGCGGGAGCCGCCGCGAGCGAGAGGAGGAGCGGCCGCGGGCCCCAGCATCAACAGCACCAGCGGGCGGGATCGAGGCCGTCAACATGGCGAGCGCCTCATACCACATTTCCAATCTGCTGGAAAAAATGACATCCAGCGACAAGGACTTCAGGTGAGAGCGAAATCTGACCCGAAACCCACCTCGGGGTCCCCCATCCGCGGCCCTGGCCCTCATAAAGGCCTTGCCCCACCCCTTTGGCCTTAGCCGGTTCCTCCGCTTTCCCGAGGTCCCCAGCCCACCACTGTGTTCTCACACCCAGGCAGGCCCCTCTCCTTCTAACCCCCTCCCCCCATTCTTTTCTCTAGGCCGTTGCCCGCCGCCGGTCCTCGGCCCCTTCTGCGTCCGCAATCGTCCCCACCGCATTCCCTGTCCCCTCCTCAGACCTGATTTCCATATTATCAGGTGGCGAAAAGGGGCGAAATCACCCACCATTGTGGGGAAGGGAGTTGCTCTAGGCTTGCAGATCGGGAAGCCGGGCCTATTTGCCGGCCTGCCGCAGGCGCTAGGCCGCCCCGCACGCTGGAGCCCGAGCAGCTGCCCACTCGGACCCAGCTGCCGCCTCCTTTCCCTCAGATGTAAGTGGGCCTAGGTGCAATCAGCTTGAACGACTTGCTTTTTTGAGCTCTTCGCGGATTAGGTTATAAACTTTTTCTTTGGATTTTTTCATTCGTGAAGGTGGGAAGAAGGGGGAGGGCAGCCAGGATAGAGGAAACTTGACTCGTAGGGTTTTCCCGCCAGCATCTCTGTCATTTACCCTTGTCAGGTAAAACCCAAGCAGGAACTCGGGGTTTCAGTCTTATTTTTTTATATCCAGAATTTACTGCCAAGAAAGGTGAATTGCTGAACCTTAAAACAGAAAAGTAAACCAAGCAAAGGGGTCATATTGGAAGAAAGAGTTTTGTAATATGGGGATGGTGAATATGATAGCAGTTGTGTTGCAGGAGACTTGTACTGTAGGTTCCAAACCTTGGTAACGTGCATATGGAAGATTTATGTTTTCACGGATTATCTTGGTTTCTCACTCTTTTTTTTTTGCACTATAGTAATTGTTACATTCCTTCTTTTCCCCTATCCCACCCACCAAAGAAAAAGCTGCTAAATAAAAAAGAGCTCTTTATTTCTTTAATGCTCATTTTGTTCTCTAAGGCTTAGTGGTTGTATTTTGTGTGCATTTGAAAGGAAAGAACATAGAGTCTTCAATTTAAATTGTGGCTGCAGGACTTACTTATTTATATATTGTATGAACAGTACGTTTTAACATCTGAAAACATGCCCAAAGCTTATCTACCAAGAAGTTTTCCGATTTGTGAAATGAAAACCATAAAAAATGTAAAGATCATGTTCCTAATTAAATTGATGTGCTGGCATATTAAAATGGCCAATGAAATACAGTTTTGGTTCTGTGACTTCAAAAGCCAGGAATGATTTTTTAAAAGTTTTGCTAAAAAGGGAACTTTTTAGTATTGCAATTGATAATTTTAAAAGCCCATTTGCTAATACTAAAGATTTTAGTGTTGTGGCTTTTTGGAGGAGACACGTTTGTTTTGGGTATTTTGATATTTTAGATTTATGTAGTTTAGGGCCAAAATCAAGATTTTTGAAAGTTTTTTTTGGTTGTGTTTTTAAAGAGTTAGAATGCTTTCCCAATTGGAGCTTTGCTTCCTGCGGTGCAAGCAACTGAAATTTAAATAAACATTTGAATGGCACATATATATATATATATATATATATATATATATATATATATATATATAACTTTCAGCTATGTAGAGTGTGTAGTATAATTTTTTTTTTTTTACCCTTCCCATTTCTCTCAATTTAGCTTATTTTGTCACAGTACTAAATTTCATTTTGATTATATTCAGTTTCAATCTGAAGAGAGCATTTTCCCTGTAATAGTACAATTTTATTAAACTAATCAGACTTGTGTATGGGAAGGGTAATATGATTAAAGAAATCAAATCGTGATAATTTTCATATGTGATTATTGACTGAAGCTTTCTTAAATTTCTTGTAAAGGAAAAATATACACGTGCTTGCATTTTTAATTATTAGAAAGAAATAATGTTCTGATGTTCAGCTATAGTCAGTGTTGACCTTGATAAGGGTTATCTTATCAGTTTGGGCTGGAATAAATCAAAACATTATGTGGAGTAGTTATTCTCCTAACTGTAATATTGAAATATTTCTAATGGTGAGTAGTATAGAAGATATATTTAGGTAGAAGATATATTTAGAAACAGTGACTTCTAGTAATTTGGCATCATTAAGTGTTTTTATTAACTGTTTTAAAGACTTGTGATATGCTCAAGCCATCCAGTTAATAGACAAACCTTTGGAACTAAAATATTATGTGTATTACATTTAAGAGGTCAATTTAAAAAGTGAGCATTTGAAGTCAAGTAGTTTGAAGATTTTTCTGTACACTTTCAGTACAGGCATTTATTTGAATACATGTGTTTTATTTTAAAATGCTTTCTGATTTCTCACTAGAAATTTTTTTACTTGTTTATTGTGTAAATAATATATAATTGGTGTAATTGTATGTAAATTGGTATAAATCAGTTTGTCTCCATGTTTTAAAATACCTAGTGCCAGAAGGATGTGGACAAGGCTGATGAACATAGAATATCTACCATGTGCAGACCACTGTACCTTGTGCTAAGGGGAGAAGAAAACAATACATCTAAGAGGAAGAAACAAATTTTATTCTTCTCAGAGAATGGTAGCCTCCAAAGAGAAAACCTACTGGTCACAAGATATGGGCTCTAGTCATGTAGGATTCTTTGTTATAAACTATCTGTGAGATCTTGGGCAGGCTACTTAATTTGGGATTAAATTTTCACTTGAGAGACTTGTACATGGGTGATTACAAAAGGTCCCTTATAGGCCTGGAATTGCAGGTGTCTGGATAACCACATCGTCCATTAATGCAAAGAAGGCAAAGAAATGCGTGCAGGCTTCAAAATTTTGAAATGTCAGCATTTTTAAAGAATCCTTTTGTAGGTATTATATCATAGGCTCAAGTTATTGAAGGAAAAAAAAACTAATGCCCTTTTTTATTTTGTGTTTAATATTCTATATCTTTTAAAGTGGGCTATATATTAAGGTTTAGTGCCAGTAGGTAGATGATTCCGTAGATACCAGAATGAAAACTTGAATGTACATGAACCATGTGAGTGCTCCATTTATGAATATTAATATTGAATATTCGTGGATTGAGGTAACAGAGTTTTGCTTTCATTTTTGTATACTTCATCAACTGAATTAAAGTTTTCCAAACAATCAAGAGCTAAAGAAAAAATTTACCGCTCTTTTATCTCTCTGTACATAATAGTTAATATTAATGCCCAGTATGGACTTTATATACTTGATGCTATTTATGCTTACAATTCTATTAAAGTGGACACTAACAGTCTCTGTTATAGCTGAGGAAACTGAAATGGTGATGTTAAATACTTGCCCAAGATGAGTTAGATAGTAGTAGATGTGGGCTTTCCAGATAGCCCAGAACATGAACTGTTAACTACCATATATGCTACTTCTCCAGGGTTTTGACTAGGGGACATGAAGAGTAAGACCTTAAAGTTCAGTTCCTTCTAAGTTAGGCTGATGAAATACCTTGTGCTAACAGACGCTTTTAATAATTCCCTAAGAGGGACTTCAGAAAATTGATTTAGTGCTTCCCCTCAGTAATACCTACATGCTTGTTGGATGGTTAAGACACTGTTGTAAAAAGATAAATAACCCAGGGCAATATGGGGTTTTCAGGCTTAAGCGGCAGAAAAGATGAAAGCAAGAAGATTCATGTTTGTGGAGTGATCTGAGGTCTTTAAATTCTAGGTAGAGAAAATGAATGAAAGCATACTATACAGAATTCTGTTAGGGGTGAGGGAGTAGATAATCTTGCCTGGAGCTGGGGGCAAGTATTGGTCAGGAAACTCTTTGAGGGTAGGGATCTTGGCTTACTAAACTGAATCCTCCAGTCTGTTTAGTGTTGCCCATGTGGGTTCTCAATAGATGCTTGTTTTAGTTGAATTGGATTTTAGTTCCAGAGTAAAGAAAAAAAAAAGCATGTAAGGATTTTGGGAAGTTTCCTCAAGAAGCCGGTGTAAAATCTACCAGTCTATTTTTTTTAAATACCATTTGGTACAACCTTAAAATAATTCATTGCATTGTAGAATTTCCTAACTTGATAATGGTTTATGTTACCAAACTTATTTGTATGTTTTGGATATTGGAAGTTATTTTTTCTTGGAAGCTGTTTAAAATGCTAATAAAAATCTCAGCCCTATTAAGTGGAATTCATGGGCTTTCAGAGCTGGAAGGGACCTTAGAGAGCCTGTAACATAGCTGACAATACTGTTGGGGTATTTACAATAATGTAACAGGAAATACTAAGTGAATTTTTTGGACTGCTTGTGCTTCATGAAAAGTAGGTTTAGTCCAAAGAAACAGGTTTGTAAAGATGAAGAAGGTGATTTGGGGGCACTTTTAGGTACTTTGCAGGTTGATGGCAGTAAGTTACTTGATTTCACTTATGTGATTTTTCTTGATACAGGTATACTGGTAACAGTGATTATCAGCAATGATTACGGCTCCCCACTGAAAAAGAGGAAAAAGGGACCTAATTGAGGAAACTGGGGAGAAGAAAGATGACTAGAAATTAGTTTTTGTTTATATGAACAGTATGAAGACTGTCCTAAGTTAATTCATAACTCTCAGGGAATAAAAGAGAAAAAGTGAGATAGCAATTGGTGCGTGTACAAGATCTTTGGCAGATAATTGGTTCACTGGATGATGCACTTGGCCCATATTTAGATTTCTGTTGGAAACAAGGGTAAAATTATGTTTATATATGAGGGGAGGGTTGTGGTGAGAGCTACTCATTTTGTAGTACAAGGTATCTATTTCTACCATATATGCTTCTCTACATTGGATTTATTAAAGATGAATAAGTTTTCCCCTCATGGAACTTCCACACCAGTAGGTTTAAGCCAGGCGTGTAAGTTCCAGACTATAACTACCTTGTTCATAATGTGTTTGCAGAACCTGGCACAGTTCCTGATCATGGTACCCCCCAAATATTTGTTGAATAAATGAATGAGATGGTACTGCCTCTAAGTTATATCCACCTGGGACTCTCACAGGAGTCCGAAAGTTAGTTTCTTACTTCCCCCCTACCACCTTAAGCCTCTTTTATTCTTATTTTGTCTTGTTACATTACCATCCACCAAATATCCCAATTGGAAAACCTGATGTTCCTCTTCTACCTTTCTTCTCTCCTTTGGCCCTCTGATGAGTATTTCTCAAATTAGTCTCCCTGTCTTGGGCCTCTTTTTTTATCTAATCTGTTGATAGCTTTTCCATTAGAGTTTTCTGCCTACATAGCACAGCTGATCATTGTCTTCCCTACATGATAAACTCTAAACTTCTTAGCTGTTGCCCACCTAAGCTTACTGAAACTACCCTTTCCCAAATCCCTAAAAGTCTCGGTGTAACTAATTTAGTGGATATTTTCTTTACTCATCTATTTGATATGTAAGCACTATTTACCACTTTTTCCTTTAGAGGTATCCATGACACAGCTTGGGTTTATTACCATTATAGTGAGGGAGAACACACGCTCTGGGATGTCTCAGTAAGAGGACCAGGATCTGTTTATTTGGATAATTTTGAGAAAGGTCAAAGGAAGTGGAGATTGGAAGTTGTCTGAAGGGGTGGGGGTGGGGGGCGCAATTCTATCATTTGACATCTTACTGTTACATGTAGCGCAGACTAAAGCAAAGGAAAAGCTGTAATTAGTGAAGAAGTGGCTTTTGCTCAGGGAGGATATTTTGTGTTGCTAAGTGAACTTGTCTGAAATGGATGTTCTGTAAGGTTATGTCTAGGAAACAATATGCTTTAGCTGTAAACATCAGATCTGTTTGGAATAACATTGAGGTTTAGGTATGAGCCTCAGATCAGTTCCTGGACTATAGAGGCTGCTGTTTGTTTCTTTCTCAGGCCTCGCTTTTAGGCCAAGGGCAGATGAAGTTGGGCTTCAGGACATTAATTCATGATGTTCACATCTTCACTATTGCTGATACTTTGTTGAGTAAGATCAGAGGAGTGGCCATTCAGTGTAATCTGTAGTCAAAGCAGGCTTATTATTATTAATCTTTTCTCCTTCTGTTGTAAGATGAGTGGTTGAACCATCTGATGTCACAGTGACTGTCAAAGAACATTAAGACTGGACAGGATATGTACTTGACTGTAACACCCAAGTTTTATGGTTTTCTTCCTCCTTTGTCCATTTCCTAACTTATTTCTTACCACCCCCATTTCCATTTCAAAGACCTGTCTTAACTATATATAACTCATGCGACTTACCACCCCCATATCCATTTCAAAGACCTGTCTTAACTATATATAACTCATGCCGAACAAATCTTATCTAATACATGTATTTTTTCCTGGAAGACACATCACAGCCTTCTTGTACATAAGAACACGAGACAGCACTTTAGCATTGCACTTCGGAGTCATTCTAAACAACAAAATTAGCAAAAAAAAAAAGCACAATCACGCAAAAAAAAAACGGCACTAGGTAGACTGAGGATACAGTAGTCCCCCTTTATCTACAGTTTTGCTTTTTGTGGTGTCAGTTATCCACAGTCCACTGTGGTCCAAAAATATTAAGTGGAAAATTCCAGAAATAATCAGTTTTAAATTGAGTACTGTTTTGAGTAGTTTGATGAACTCTCAGGCCATCCCGCTCTGTCCCATCTGGTACGTGAATCATCTCTGTCCAGTGAATCTACACTGCTTATGCTACCTGCCTGTGGCCCTCTTGGTTTCAGATCAACTTTCCACACGGAACTACTCTTTAGTCCTTCACTCTGAGGTCCTATGCCCCTCACCACCACCACACACACAAAGACAAAAAATTAAAAATTCCAGTGGGCCGGCTGAGTGGCTCAGTTGGTTAAGAGCTCGCTCAAGAGTTTGAGCTCTGAGCAACAGCGGTTCGAGTCCAGCCCAAGCTGAGCAGCCGCTGAGCTGCCAACAGGTAGCAGGATGGCTCAGCTAAAAAATAAAAAAAAATAAAAATTCCAAACCAGCTTTCCTCATGCGAACCCCTATTAATCCTTTGGGACCCAAACTAACCATCAGTTCTTTGGGTGATCATTGCCAAATGCCCCTGAGTATTGTTTTAAAATTTTTGTAAGATTGAAATTTGTCCATTTACTTGTCTGTCTGCCATAATGAAAAAGTTAAGAGGAAAGACTGAGTCTGTATTTATCATCTCAGCCCTTAAACAATAAATGCTTAAGAGATGCTACCAATTGGCTTTTGAATCTTCCATGGATAGCTTTCAAACTGGTCAATTTCCTTGTAAAATTTATAGTGCAATTTTTATTTCAAGTTAACAGAAGGAAGAAATCATTCTTGGAATTTTCTGGTTTTCAGGGTCATTAAAAATTAACTTAATTATAACCTCATACTATATCAACCCCATTTTTCTAAATTTAAAAAATATCTATTGCTAATTTTGCTGGTGCTCATTTTAACTTCAAAAAAGTGTTTAATTATTAATTACAGGTTTTTGAAAACCGATAGACTTTTTTATTAGACTATAACTGAGGTCAGGAGTCAAAGTGTATTTATCTTATCTGTCCTTTGCTCATAGGCATATGAGCATAATCGGCAGTGAGTACATAAAGGAAACTGTACTAGTAGAATCCCTTCAGAACCATAAAACAATTTTTTACATTGGGATTGTCTGGTTTTTTTTACTGATACTGATGCTCACTAAGCTTCTCTTTAACCAGATGATTAGATTTCAAGGATTCTTAAAGGTGCCAACTTCAGTGGTTATTTAATGGATTTTATCTAAGTAAAATGGGTATGATACTTTAATGTTTTATGTGTAGAAGTGCCTGCATTCAGTTTTTTGGGTTTTTGGTTGTTTTTTTTTTAATTCCCAGAATATTAATGGGGTTTTAATTTACTTCCATTATATAAAATGGGGAGGGGCCTACCAATTAGGAGAACTATGTCCATTTTTAAAAAGTGCATGCTTAATTTACCTTGGATTATCTCAGTATAAACATAAGCTCTTCTTTATAAGCAGTTTACAAAATTCGGTAAGAACTGTGCTTGCATGTAGTTTAAAACTTTTATCAAATCAGCATTAAATAAACATACTAATTACTGGAATTATCCCTGAAATTCCCTTATAAGTAATGAATTGCTAAATTAATAAGTTGTTTTGCCAATCCATACCACATAGTTTATTGCCTACATTGTGAGACTATCTGCTATAGCTGTTTATCATTTCAGCTCTAAGAGTCATGTTTTTTAATAGATTTAAACATGATTTCTGACATTTCTGTGTGTCACAAAATATTAAGTTTTTACTCTTTACTGGATCTGGTTCAAATAAAAGAAAAAGGCATTAAACAGTTGATACTTCAGTTAGATTATTTTGATGGGTGGAAGGGAGCCAGGAGTTACGGGGAAAATTCACTTGACCTTTAAACAGATTTGGGGTCTTTATTTCAATGTGATTATCTAATCTGAGAAATTTTAAAACATTGAATTGTCTGGTGAAATATAACAAAATCTGAGAGTCTATTTACCTTATTTTTGTCTTCAACTCTTTCATTTAAAACTGAGATTAGACACTCTGGGTTTTTTGTTGGGCTGTTGAGTAGTAAACCTTCCTTTGGCAGTGGTTCTTAAGGGGCGGGGGCTGTATGTCAGGTAGAACAACTTTCTAGAATCACCTCATCATTTTGACAAGACACCAGGTGGGAGTTGGGATGGAGGTGAGAATTTGTATTTTGGAAATTTCCCAATAATTTGATATGTGACCTCAATTTAACATATGCATTATTACTTAGGAAGGTATTCATAGTGTTTGTAGTTAAAGTCTTCCTAGGTAAAATTCAAATCACATGCAAAGAAAAAGTTAAGAGGAGCTTTTCTTCCCCTAAAAGTATTTAATTAATTAGCAATTAATTAGAAAGTGCAGTCAGTAAATTTGAACTCAAAATTAATCTGGGGAAAGTAATTTTTTAAAAAAGTATATCAATTGATAGATATGAATGATAGCATTGGATTTGAAAATCGTCTAATTGATACTTAAAAAATTTTAATTATCAACAAATTTTAATTTTTTAACTAGGTTTATGGCTACAAATGACTTGATGACAGAACTGCAGAAAGATTCCATCAAGTTGGATGATGATAGTGAAAGGAAAGTAGTGAAAATGATTTTGAAGTTACTGGAAGATAAAAATGGAGAGGTACAAAATTTAGCTGTCAAATGGTAAGTTACCCCTTCAACCCCCATTAAAATACTGTAATTGGTAAATTGTCTTAGTTTGTACTGTGTCTTTCTGGAGTAGGTAACTGGTGAATGTTTAGTGTTTGTACTTGGTATATATGATACATTTCCTTATAGTTTCTATACTAACTAAATGCAGCCTTTCGTGGTGTTTTACTTAAGAAGTACATGTAGGAAACTCCAAAAGGAATGGTTCTTGCACTTATTTGACCTGATTTTTTAGCTGGATTAAAAGGCCTATCTCTATATTGCAGTGTGGGGGAAATTTAAGAACCAGTGATCAAAGGAAGTAAAAAAGAAAAGATTTAAAGAACAATAGCACTTAAAACCATAGTTAAAACAAATCAACACTGATGATAAAATAGTTACAAAGACTCTTCTAAAAATTGTGGGAATTCTGATTGTCTCTGTATGTACAGTGCAGTAGGAGCATCATGTTAGGCATGTTGCTAACACGAAAATTTGAAAACTCATTCTTAGTAATAGGGTACAAAATTTTAGTTCTCAATAAATTCTATTAATGCATCTATTTAATTTATACATACCAAATATTAGAAACCCATAACAAGTTACGTAGTAAGTTATTAGTATAACCTTTAGTTTCATATAAAAATTAAATTATGGAATTTTATGCCATTTTTGTATGTCATGTAATATTTGATATTGATTTAAATAAATCATTGTCTTATTGCTCCTTTATTGTGTTTTCTTATAAAGGTTTTAAATTTGCTTTAGGCTAATCTCTTAGATACTTGCATAAAAGCAGGCAAAAACGTGAGAAATCATTGGTCAGCACAGAATTTCTAGACATGCAGTACAACTTTCTTGAATATGGTTCTTTAACTTGAGACTTTTGCAAGTTTAAAATAAAATAGGTCTTCAAAAATGATAATTTGCAGAATAATGCAGATGAGTCTATAATTTTACTTTGATCATTATTTTCATCTTTTAATTCTCTTGCCACATGCTTAATAAAGAGTTAAGTTTTGTTCAAAATAATATGCTGAAAATCTACGAGCCTTTAAAAATAATAATAAAAGGTAGTCTGTCCCAGAGGTATGTAGGTCTTAATCACTTTAGTATGAATCTTCATTCATAGGAATCTGAGCTTTGGATCTTTTGATGATGATCTTTTATACTTAAAATTAACAGGTTGGGGGGAGAAATGACACATTCAAGAAAATAAGAGAAGTATTAAGATATAAGCAAAAGTAAATTAGGAGATAAAACCTAAGATCTGATTCTTGAAGGAGGGAAAATCCCAATAGATAAATTACTAAGTAGCCTTATGAAGAAATTGGGAAAATTTTCGAAGAGTTATCCAAAAGAAACTCAGGCCCCTAAATTTTCACACAACTCTTTGAAACCTCAAAGAATAGATAATTCCATTACACACAGTTCTAGTACTATTTCAGAACATAAAGTATGAAAACCTTCCAGTCTTTTATTTAATTCAAATACTGATAACAAATCCTGACTAAAGATACCACTAAAAAAGAAAACTAGAGACCATTTTCACTTGTGTTCAAAATAAAATTCAACAGTATATTAAATGTAATGTATAATGTACTATGATCAAGTGAGGTTCCTCTCTAAAATATAAGGATAGTTAATATGTGCTTTATTAATATATTTATTTCATCATGTTCATAGATCAGAAGAAGAAAAAACTATCTGGTTAGTTATCATGGCACTGATAAGATTCAATATTCTTAATTTAAAACAAAAAAAACACGCCAAGATTTAGGCTACTTCAGATAATTAGAGGAGTGAAGTACCTTCCAAAAACCAGCATCAGACTTAATGTATCATTTGGGGAAGAACAGGTCAGGGATGTTGTATCTCACCAGAAACAATTCATCCCATTTCCAGTATAACATTCAATAACATGGAATTGATAGTACCTTTCCATAGAACATTAAAAGTTCACAGACACACACATTCATACCTCAACCTAAAAGCCAATAAATTACCAGATCCCTTCACACTAAAGGCTGAAACTAGGCAAAGGTGTGTCTCTATCTCTGTTACATTTCTTTGGTATTAGGCACTATAAGACAAGGGGGGGGGGAATTAAACACATAAGAATTGAAAAGGAAAGTGGGAAGAATCAAATCAAGAAAAAAAAATTAATGTAAACAATAAGAATTCAGTGAAGTAAGAAGATGTAAAGTTAATGAACAAAAATCAGAAGTTTTCATATAAGCAAATAACCAGTTGGAAGATACCGTGGAAGCAAATGTCCGTTTATTACAGCAAGGGAAAAGCAAAATGCCTAGGAATAAATGTAACAAATGTTACAGTGGTGACCCAGAGTAAGGGTATTGTATGGTATAAAGGAAGGTTACAGTTTTATCTTTCTCAAAACTTACAAGAAGGAAAACTTAAATACTCCTAACGGATAAAAAAAAAATGTACTTGGAACAAATGGAAGGACATCCCATGTCCTTAGATTAGGATAACTCAACAAAGTTGTCAGTGTTATCCAGGCTAATTTAATACTAACTTAATTGTAAAAATTCCCCCCACACGCTAGACAAGTTGATTCTAAAGTATATTTTGGTGGGAAGGAGAAAGGGGGAAGGGTGTTTGCTCAAGATAACTCTTCGTTCAAGAAAACTGAAAAACTGTAACAGTTGCTGGAGTTGGAATTGCTTACTAGATAGGAAAACATACTGTTATGTTTCTCTAATCAAAGCAGTGAGATAAGCAGTAACAGACCAATGGAGTAAAATAGAATGGAAAGTGGCAAAATAGAATGAAGGTGGCATTACTGGTGAAAAGTTGTACCTTTTTTTCAAAAGACTGAATAACCACTTGAAAAAGATAAAATTGTATTCTTACCTTGTATACAGCTTCCCTACTTAAAGATTACTACTGTTTTGTTCACCTTAGTTTTGCCTATTGTAGAGCTTCATATAAATGGAATCATACAGCATGTGCTCTTTTGTGTCTGGCTTATTTCACTCATAACACCTTTATGATTTATCCACGTTGGGTGTATTAGTATTTCATGACTTTATTACCTATTAGTCCATTGATACCACAGTCTGTTGACACATTTGGTTTCTTTCTAGCGTTTGGTATTGTGAATAAAGATAAAATGAACATTCTCTTTCAAGTCCTTTTAGTACATGTGTCTATTTCTTATAGATAAATACCTAAACATGAAATTTCTTTTGTTTATTTAGATTTCTTTAAGACCTGCCAAATTGTTCCCCAAAGTATTTGTACCATTTTACATGAAAGTACCAGTTGCTCCACATTCTCACCACCACTTGGTTGTGTCACTCTTTAATTTTAGCCAGTCCCGTAGGTGTGTAGGTATAGTTTTAATTTACATTTCCCTGACGACTAATGATGTCCGATGCTACTTTGTGTGTTTATTGGCCCTTCGTTTATTTTTCTGTAGACTTTTCCCCATTTTTAAAATTGAGGTTGTCTTTATCAAATTGTAAGAGTTCTTCATATATTCTGGATACAGATCCTTTGACACATGTTTTGTCAATACTTTCTACCAGTTTGATGAGTTTTAAGTTTTAAATTTTAGTTTTAAATTTTGTTTAGTTTAATTTAAAAATTAATTTCAACTTTGCTTTTATGGTTATTACTCTCTGTGTCCAAAGAAATCTTTGTTTACTTTAAGTTACAAATATTTCTCTTGTGTTTTCTTTTAAAAGCCTTACAGTTTTCAGCTTTTACTTTTAGTTCTGTGACCTATCTTGAATTAAGTTTTGTGACGTAGGAAATGAGGTCATTTTTTTTCCTGCATAGATTTCCATTTGTTGAAGAACCATTTATTGAAATACCTTTCTTTCCCCACTGAATTGCGTTGGCATCGTTGTCAGAAATCAATTAACCATAAAGATGTGGGTCTATTTCTAGACTCTCTTCTGCTCAGTTGATCTGTCTATTCTGATGCCAGTACAACACTTTCATTAACGTAGTAGCGCAGGCTTTTTCACCCTCGGCATTGTTGACTTTTGAGCCAGATAATTGTGAGGAGTTAACCTTATGTATTCTGTGTACTTTAGGATGTTTAGCAGCATCTTGGCCTTTACTCACTATTTGCCAATAGCATTCATTGTTCTCTCAGTAATTAGTGACCACCAAAAATGTCTCCATTGCCAGATGTCTGCTAGAGAGTAAAAATCGCCCTTGGTTGAGAAATGCAGAAGTAGATCTATAGCAGTTTGAAGCAAGGTGGTATAAGTTTCCTAGCTTCATTCTTTCTCTCCCAAGAGTACTTTGATTTTTTAGGTTTGTATTTCTATCTAAATTTTTGAATCAGTTTGTCAATATCTATTTTTAAAAATAAGCTTGCTCAAATTTTGATTGGGATTGTGTTGAAGCTATAGAAATTGTTGAAGGGAATCAACATCTTAACAGTACTGAATCTTTTAACCATGAACCACAGTATTTCATACTTTCCTGTTGAGTCCTCAGGATTTTCTACCTAAATAATTGTCACCAGTGAATATCTCCCCTTTTAATCCCAACTTTGGTTTTGTTTTCTGTTTCTTTTTTACTCCCTCAATTCCTCTAATTAGGGATTTACCAACTTTACTAATATTAAAGAACTGATTGTAGTGTTTGATAATTTTTTCTATTGTTTGTTGCCTATTTCATCGATTTCTTCTCTTTATTAGTACTTTCCTTCTACTCTCTTTCTAATTCATAAACATTTAAAGGCATATATTTTCCTCTTAAGTACTTGAACTACATACTACAAATTTTGGTATTTTTATTATCACTCAATTTGAAATATTTTTACTCTCCACTGATTTTTCTTTGATCCATTCGTTATTTAGAAGCAATTTTCAAATGTTTGAACGTTACCTAGATGTAATGTTCTATGTTTACTGGTTTCTCATTTAATTCCATTATGGTGAGAGAACCATCCATACTATTCAAGCTTTCAGGGTGGTTTTGTTTGTTTTGTCTATTCACTGAGATTTACTTTATGGTTCAGCATATGGTAG